GGCCTGGGAAAATGCTCCCTGCCCACTGGAGCACACAGAGCTGTGTTCAGATGTACAGGCGTCAGTTGGGTAAATGCCGACAGGGGGTCATGAATTCGCCATCACGGAACCCCACTGCTGTCGTGTGGCCCAGCGGCGCCCCAGGTGCAGGCAGCTCAGGGGGAACTGCGTGGGCCCCCGAGAACACTCCCGCACACCCTCTGCTCTGCGTGGCTGGTCTGGGCAGATTCTCTCGTCTATTCCGTTTGTTCCTGACTGTCAAGATAAGACTCCAGAGAAAAGCCTCTGGAGGAGAAGAAAGCTGGCTGCTGGAAGAGCTTTCCTAGGGAGAGAACACGAAGGGGCTGCAGGGGGTGGGGGTGGCCGGGGCTGCGCTCTGTGATTTTACCATAAACATTTTTGGTCACTAAGACATTCATTCTCCCTGGAAGTCTGCTGACAGCTCAGCCTTGAAACGTGCAAAGATGGGCTGAGAGAAGAGAAAAGAGAAAAACAGAAAGCAGAAATGGCACTGAGGTGCGTGCCCCAACGCCACAGCTCCTCCGGGAAGGTCCGGGGCAGGCTGGGAATAGACAGCCTAAAGTCACCACAGTGCCATGGGGCAGGACCTGGAGCAGAGCTGCTGCCTTTTCACGAAGGTCCTACCATCCAGCCTGGCTTGGCCGCCTGGCCAGATCCATCCTCCTGGCCAGGGACCTCCCCCAACCACTCCAGGAGACCCAGCTCCCTCCGGCTAAGGGCCTGAGGCCAGGGCACAGAAAGTGAAATCTGATTCTCAGGTATGCGGGCTGGGGAAGGGAGCCATACAGGGGCCATCAATCAAAGGCGAGAGCCAGGGAGAAAATTACAGCCGCGAAGGTGACTGTATTGAACATGTTCTCCTCCTGCAGCCCCGAGCCCAGTCCAGTCTGGACATGCCCACACCTGGCTGTGTGTGTGCGTGTGTGTGTGTGCGCGCGCGCACATGTGCACGAAGGCACAGGCAGGTTGTGGGGAGAGGGGAGCAGGCTGAACGACTCAGGCCTGGCCGGTGGGCCTCCAAAGGGGAACAACGATGCAGCCAGAAGGTGCTAAGAGGGGGTGCTTCCTGTCCAGCTCCCTTTCCAGGCTGGCATATAG